AATTCCACAGAGACGACGCTCCAAAAAGACGTTTATGAACGATATTAGACGCAACCACTTACAATCTACGCTTATCCTACATAGAAAAATGTATATTAACTTACTTGAAACACATGAAATATATTCAAAGACACATATCGGCGTGATTTGAATAAAGAAAAGTAGAAAAAAATAAATACCGTAACAGCCCGAAAACCTCCTACTGATGCTTACAGGCCACCATCATTTCTGAGGATTGACGGTTTTTGTGAAAAATAATTTAGATTTTTATTATAACCTCATTTTTAAAGCTACGAATTCGTGAAAAGAACAGATAGACACATACTTCTGATTACCACGTCTTGGATTAAAATATAGCGTATATTCTACCTTGGTGGTCAGAGCATAGGGGTATATCCAACTGCGCAGATCAGGATTATAGTGCACGAGTATATGCCTAAATGTTGATACAGTGAGAAGTTAGAACAATTGTTGATCCACCTATTTGACCTGTTTGCTCAGCTCCTCGTCGCACAAACTGATATAATTTGATCCATTCTTGATGCGCATGTGACGTTGGTGGATCTGCACTAACAGGATTTCAATATACTCGTCAGCGATTTGACCAACATTTTTTGTCTATCAACGGTCGAAAAATTCATACTGAATATGATTTTTTAGATCCAGAGTATATTTAATTTATATGCGACATTTATTTAGACTAAGTGGATCCGGAGCCATAATTGACGAATAGGTACTCGAACACGAAGCGGCAACGTCGCGTTCTGTGTGTGACAGAGAACCCAGTAGGCTACTTCGTTATAGTAATAAGGTAAGAAAATACGTTATCTTTTGATTTTGTAGATCAAACTTTGGCAGGTTTTATTGTGGAAAGACATTTGTTCGAGTTTTTGTTATCGTGTGAGTGAATTTGTGTTATTTTATTCATTTGTCATAGATCATTTATAAGATAATGGATAGCACTGTCACTCGAGTGTGTGTGTGTGTGTGTATGTGTGTGTGTGTGTGTGTGTGTGTGTGTGTGTGTGTGGTTTCGTGTGTAAGGGTGGGGGGTGCCATTTAGTTCGCGCGCGTATGTTTGCGTGTGTTGCGTGTGTGTGTGTGTGTGTGTGTGTGTGTGTGTGTGTGTGTGTGTTATGCGAGTTTGTGTGCGCGTGCGTGTGGGTGTATGTGCGTTCTAGTGTGTTCGTGTGAATGCATGTGCGTGCGCGTGTGTGTGAGTGTATGTGTGCGTGTGTACACTGTTGTGTTTTTTTAGTACGTGTGTGTGTGTTAGTATGTGTGCGTGCGCGCTCGCGCGCGCGTGTGTATGTGTGAGTGTGTGTGTGTGTGCGCCCAGAAAACGGAGGCAGAGAATAGAGACGTGGATGCGTAGTATGTGGTGAAGGCGGAGGAGAGGAATTTGTGATGAAGTCGGAGATAGTGGAAATGGGGAATTGTGTTGGAGGCGGAAAGAATAGTAACGGCGCGTGGTGGTGACGGCGGAGGGAGCGGAGTATATTGTTGAGGCGGATGGAGCAGGTTTTATGGTGGAGGCGGAGGTAGCGGAGGTGGAGAACGAAGGCTTAGAGAGGGGTGCGGTGGTAGTGTGTACCGCGTGAGGTCAAGTGAGGCTCATATAAAGGACAGTTGGTTACAGCGAATAACAGTGTGGCTGGTAAGTAGATATCGATACTGCCCCTAAAGATGTTACTACGAGGTTATTCATTTTTCCGAATATCAGCTTGGATACCTATTGGTACTAGAGACAAAGTGAAAAGAACTTTTGTTTTGTGACGATTTCATCATAAATAACAAAACAAACCCAAACTCGGCATACCTAGTTCTACTAGTCCAGGTGTTACAGTGTTAGTTACCGAACCACACCTTCAGGTCACTTCAGCAAGTCCGGAGGTAAGGACTCATCATAACTCTCAAAACGAGCCCAAACTCAGCACACCCAGTTCTACTAGTCCAAGAGATCCACTAGTAATCCCGAATTACATTTTGAGATCACTCCATCAAGACCGGAGGTAAGGTCTCATGATAATATCTCATGTAATAGTTCGATTCTATACCTATCAATTTTGTAAACGCGTCCTTAAAAATCTTCATTATGAAGATGTAGAAAACATGTTAATTGGTTTATGGTAAACACACACACACACACACACACACACACACACAAACACGCAAGCGCGCGCGCAAACATGCGCACATGCGCACACGCACAAACGCATACACACACTCATACACGCACACTGCCGCGCACACACACACACACACACACACACGCACGCAAACATGCACTCAGACGAATACCTTATGTCGCCGTTGCCACCACTTCCGCTACAAGAAGGGGCGTTGTCGAGTAATTCGTTAAAAAAGTCGTTTATTTCGACCACAAGGATCATAGATGTTGCCAAAAGTTGTTGATGTTGCAAAAGATACGAAACGGCAATGTTGCGGCTGCATTCATGATCAACATTTTCCGTAACCATCGCAAGGTGGATTTGTATATCGGATCAACTTCGGCCAACGCTAGCAAACAGTCTCGTGAGTGCAGATGTTGATCCGGTCGGAGCCACATTAATTACCAGAGACGCATATTGGATCAACAAAAGGCGCCGGATCAACAAAGTGCTCGCGTGAAGTCGCGTCTTATCAACATTTACCGTAAAGAGATCTCTCTCTCTCTCTCTCTATATATATATATATATATATATATATATATATATATATATATATATATATATATATATATATATATATATATATATATATATATATATATATATATATATATACACCTCTGCGATAAGTTGCCTATGATTCATGAGTTTCTTACATTTATAGCACATATTCATACATATACGATAGGTATGTGAAAATTATTGCAAGAAACTTAACCTTTCGCGAGTGTACTTTCAGGTGAAAACGCGGCCTTAGGAGTGGTTTCGAACCCAAGATCTATTGAGGTCGCGTTCCACACTCTACCATTAAACTACTATCGCTTATACATTATTTCTTATTGTCATCAATTCGTTTAAATATCAAAAATCGCAAGCATACATATATATTCTTCATTTAAACTTACGTAAATACATCAGAAAAACCGTTAACCTCCCCGTACTGAAGTTGGATAGTAAATATTTAACCAATCAATATATATTTTACGTGTTGGCGACGAGCTAAGTCATAAAACTGTATGTGGGTATGGTGTTTCGCAAGGCAGCACTCTTGAACCAACGCTGTTTTTGACGTACATAAATAAATTATGTAAAGTTAACATCGATAGCGTGCACCTTTTTATGTTTGCGAACGATACTGTTATCTTCTTTCATGATACAGACTGAGATACTGTGCAGTCTCAAAATGGCTGGAAAACAATATTTTAACCGTCAATTGTACTCGTATAAAACAAAATACATCTGCTTTTACGAAACCATAGTCTCAAGACCACCACAGAGCTTTTCTGTCACCGTGCATACGTACCCGTGTAATAAAAACGTCGTAAACGTCCCAAAAAAAAGGAGAGACGTAAATGTACAATATTAGAACGAACAACTGCGATAAAATACCTTGGAGTAATCCTCGACCAAAGATTAAATTGGCAACCTCATACAGCAAATGTATCTAAACGAATTCGGAGACTCATTGTAGTATTTAAGAATCTACGAAATGTAGCGACTTTATAACTGCTAATTCAGACATATACCGCCCTTTGTCATTGTCTCATAAATTATTGTATCTGCTCATGTGGTGCAGCTCCCAAAAAATATCTTATAGAGGACGAGAGAGCTCAAAAATCTATATTAAAACTAATGTTACATCCTTCTTATATTATATACTCAACATCTAAAGTATACGAATTGGTAATTGTCCTTAGTGTACGTAAATCGTATATATACGAATTCATAAAACGATATCATAATATTTGTCCAGTATATGTAGCTAAAAACAAAGGATCACAAAAATGTCCAGTATTATTTGTCAAAAGCATTTTAGAAAAGAGGTAACATATCTATCAAGCACCTCATTTATATAATGTTATTAATTAAAAAAAATTAAAAAACTTAAAAAGACACCAAATTAAACAAACTATTTTAAATTGGCTAAAAATACGACTATGAAAATTGTTAAAACCTACTTTAAGTTAAGTATACATATTTTAACAAAAATAGATACACATACAAACACACACACACGCGCGCGCGCGCTCCGGTAGCATACACGCGCACGCAGATGCACACGTGCCAACACACACGCACAAGTACGCACGCACACGCACTCACCCACACATACACACTTTGTTTTTTTTGTACTATGTTTAGTGTCTGTATTGTGCACGGAAAATAAGATTACTGAATGGGAGGGAAACTGCCTCCTAAAATATAGGGTAACCTAGTTTAGGAGTCAAGATATCTATGAATTGTGTATTAATTTTGTGTTCAATAAATAATAATTATTATTATTGTGGGGTATTTCTATAGATTTCTCATCTGGTTGGGTTCTATAAATACATAATTTTAAGTGAATATGATAAATGTAAATAAATATCAATAAAATACAATAAATACATAAATAAATAAATGCCCAACCAGATGGAAGCCCTTGGTACGGGAGACCAAACGGCCGAGGGTTAGGGGAAAGGGAAAGGAACCGGTGGAAATGCGAGCGGTCTCGAGAAGCACCGCCTTCTGTATTTGAGCCCGAAGCGGTCCGTTACGGAGTCCTAGTTGCCTCAGATGACCCAAAGGCTGACTGAGATTAACCCATTTGCAAAAACCACTACAGATATAATTTCGATCGATAGCACATACATACCGGCCACCTCGTGAGCCAGATCCAGATATTTTGTTCGCTTATCTGTTTCGGATTTCACGAGGTTCTCATCATACGGAATGGTAATGTCGACCAAAAATATCCTTGACTGTGCTCGGTATGAGTTGAAGGAAATGAGAGACAATATAACTATGGTAAAGGATACAGTCCTTGCATGTAGTAAAAAACTGGAGTAAATGGATTCCATGGTCACCAAGTTGGAAAAACTATATGAAGAACGTCTGAGTAAGTGCGACACTAAAACACTAGAGGACACGATAAGTGAACTTCGGGTCCAACTTAATGAGAGAGATCAGGACCTCCTAGCCAATGATCTGGAGATATCGGGGTTACCAGAGCAAAAAGGTGAAAACCCTATCAATACCGTGGTGCTATGCGCTAAAAAGATAGGTCTCGATATTGATCACCGCGAGATAGTTCATGCCGAGCGTGCTGGTATTTTGCGTACATCTTATAACAATAGCGCTCAAAAACTCATGTCTACTGGACTCCGCAAGATTGTGGTGGGAATGAGTCGGCGTGCGGTTCGGGACGAGTTCCTACGTTATGCGCGGGTGCGACGCAACATAACGAGTGATTCACTGGGATTTACATTAATGAGCGGCTTACTCCTCTTAATAGAAAATTGTTTGGGAAGACACGTGAGGCAGCAAAAAAGGCAGGTTGGCGCTACACCAGGACAAAGGGTGGAAGATGGAAAGCCCGTAACACGTATCCGATCCGATATAGACCTAAGTCGTGTTTTCTGCTTACTCAGAGTTGGTTGTATATAGTATAATTTTTATGTGCTACCATTGTTTTTGTAATTTTAGTAATAGTGAGTGTTTGATTGATTTTGGTAAAATAGTAATTTTTCACATATTTGTATTATGAAATTATGGACACAGAATGTTATGCCACTAACTTGATTTTATTTTTTCATAACCTATACAGATTCTTACTGACCTTATTCTTTATACACGCCTTATTTTGTAGTTATATGTCAATATGCTTTGGCCTTTTTGCTAATTTTAAGTTAAAATATTATATACTTTATACTATTGCGCTTTTATATTATTACCATTGAAGGTTTAGTTGTAGTGAATGTTTGGTTGGTTTAGGAAATATAATGATTTTTCCTTTAAATTTATTAATATAAAGGAGGAATACAATATGGCTAACATATTTGTATTCCTCCTTTAACCTTAATTTATTGATTAACAATCTACATAACTTCTTACCAACCACATTATTTATACACGCCTTATCTTGCAGTGATAGGGTAATACACTTCAGCCTTTTTGCTAATTTTAAGTTAAAGGCTTATGTACTTTATAATATCGGAATTATAAACTATCTTTGCTGTCTTAATAATAGTGAGTATTTGATTAGTTTGGTAAAAATATTAATGCTTCTTATAAAAATTTTAATATGGAGAAAAATCTCATACTATAAGATTATGTGCATTTTTTGTGTTACATGTTATATCTTAAAAGTTTTATTAGGTAACTCAAATAGCCTCTTATTTGCAATTTTTTTCATGCTTGTATTCTTTTGTAGTAATAGATCAGTAGACTTTACTTTGTTTAAAAAGTGCTTTCATCTAATGTGTGCTTATGTGTTTCATGGGATAAATTATAGTGACTATATAAATTTTCTATCTTTTTGCGAGTTAATAGCGGTGAGAGTACTGTATTTAATATGTTTTTATTACATATTTTTTCATATAGTATGGCGTTAATGTATATCTACATAATTTTATTGTTAGTTACAATAAACCTTCACTTCATTTTTTTGTTCAAATAGAAAAAAAATCACTGGATTATTATGCTTACAAAAATGTATTATATTAAATATTATATCAGGTAACATAAATATATATCATATACACATAACATATAGTAAAGTAAACGTTAAAACCTCAATACCTGTTGCGCATGGTATTAAATGTGGCTTATCAAATTGTCAGAAATGAATAAATCTATGTACCTAAAAGTTGGCTTTCTAAATGCTGGCTCACTAGGTACAAAACATGATGAATTTTTAGCCGCCATGAGCCGATATGAAGTTGATATAAACGAGACATGGCTTCGGGAGAATGAAGAAGGCCGAGCCCCGCGCGTGCCTGGCTACAGATTTCGTCACGTGCCGAGACCGTTGTCAGTAGCGAGGGATTAATGTAAAAACATTAACCACACCACACCACAGCACTATTGAAGAAATGTGGCTGAACTTAAGAATTAATTCAAAAAGCATCGTTATTGGCACGGCCTATCGCCCTCCACGGCTTAATGTTAATATATTTCTTGACGCTATAATTGACAGTCTTAGTTCTTTTTCATATGATTATGTGATGATATTAGGAGACTTTAACATTAACCTACTTAATACGGAGCAGAATAACACTAAACTTTTTTAGAATTTATAAAACTTATAAATGTCGTACAATTAATAGATGCGCCAACTCATTTTACAGAAACAAGTCAAACTCTCACAGATGTTATATGTACCGACGTACCTACCCGAAATGTGGCTATTAACGACATCAACATCTTAAGTAGTCACGTCTACCTTTCCTGTGAGATGCATATAAAAAAAGATTAAATACTCCCACGATCTGTTGTATATCGCCCTCTAAATAATATTCTGCTAGAATATTTCGAACACGATCTCCAGCTGATTCCATGGAAAGATATTCAGTGTATTGATAGCGTAAATGAAATGACAAAAACATTTAACTTTTACATTATACAATTATTTGACTTGTATGCTCCTGTTAAATCGATAGTGCTTAAGGATCGCCCTTGTCCATGGATAACGGACAACATAAAATTTATGATGAGATTACGTAATAGCACATAATAAATTTCGCTACTCGCAGTCACCTAACCATAAAGCTTATTAAAAAGAAATGAAGCATCGAGTGAAAATAGCATTATATTATGAGAAAAAAGCTTATTACAATTCTTTTATTAACAGCAACATTGTTAACTGAAGGCATAATCTTTACCGCCAAAATGATCCAGAATTACCTTCTAAATTAATGGTACCTTACTTAATTAATGCTCATATTCTTAATACTCAAGGGACTATTAATGTGACAATATCGGACCTTACGTATTTCGAATTTGATAAATTCAGCTCTGGGAATTTTTTACTTAAAACGGTTTCGTCAGATGATATTTCAAAAATAATAAGAACACTTAAATCTAATGCATAAGGAGTAGATGGTATTACACTTAATATGTTATTGATGACTCTCCCACAAAGCTTGGATACTATTACTGCACTTGTCAACCAGTCAATTAGTACCAACATATTTCCCGAAATCTGGAAAAGAGCGCTAATACGTCTTATACCTAAGAAAGGGAATCCTGATGATTTCAAAGATTTAAGGCCCATAAGCTTACTACCACGCTTATCGAAAATTTTGAGAAAGTGGAATATCAGCAAGTAACAGCTCATCTTGAAGACAATTGCATTCTACCTGATCTTCAATCAGGTTTCAGAAAGGAGAGAAGTACTGCAACTGCACTTTCTAATCATCATCATCATCATCATTACAGCCCTTCACAAGTCCACTGCTGAACATAGGCCTCCCCCAAGTAATGCCACAAAGCACGGTCCTGAGCCACCTGCATCCATCGACTTCCTGCATGTCTTACCAGGTCGTCACTCCATCTAGTGGGGGGGTCGCCCTACACTACGCCTACCGGTACGAGGCTGCCACTCGAGAAACTTTCTTCCCCATCGGTTATCGGTTCTTCGAGCTATATGGCCGGCCCATTGCCACTTCAGCTTACTAATCCGTTGGGCTATGTCGGTCACTCTGGTTTTACTGCGAATATCCTCATTTCTGAGTATATCTCGCAGTGAAACTCCGAGCATAGCCCTCTCCATAGCTCGCTGAGCGACCTTGAGCGTCCTCATACGGCCAGCAATGAAGGATCACCATGGCAACACGCACTGGTTGTACACTTTAGATTTCAGAGATTGAGATATACCTGACGAGAAGATGTGTCGTAATTTCACGAACGCTGCCCAACCGAGTTGAATCCGTCGATTGACCTCTCGGTCGAAGCTGGACTTACCTAGTCGGACTATTTTCCCAGGTAAACGTACTCGTCAACATCTTCGAGCATAGTGCTCCCAACAACTACCGGCATAGGTGTGACATGGACATTAAACATGATCTTTGTTTTGTCCATGTTCATCTTAAGACCTATCCGTTGGGAGACACCATTGAGGTCATTGAGCATAGTGCTGAGGTCCTCCAGTGATTCTGCCATAAGGACTATATCGTCGGCAAATCGAAGGTGAGTGATGTACTCGCCATTGATGTTAATACCGTATCCTTTCCAGTCCAGTAGCTTGAAAACGTCTTCCAACGCAGCGGTGAAGAGGTTCGGGGATATAGCATCACCCTGTCTTACATCTCTCTGCAGTTGGATAGGTTTCGTAGTCTGGTTATGTACTCGGATAGCCATCGTAGCCCTACTGTACAAACACTTCAGCACTTCAATATACCGACAGTCAACTAGGCACCGCTGAAGAGACTGTTGCACTGCCCAAATTTCGACGGAATCAAAGGTTTTCTCATAGACCACATACGCCAGGCAAAGTGGCAGATTGTACTCTTCGGACTTCTGTACAATTTGCCGAAGGGTATGTATGTAGTCTATTGTACTGAAGCCTTTTCGGAAACCGGCTTGTTCGGGAGGCTGGAAGTCGTCTAGTCTGCGTGCGAGACGATTCGTAATGACTCTCGAAAACAGCACGTAGACGCGGCTCAGAAGGGAAATCGGTCTGTAGTTCTTCATGAGAGCGTTGTTGCCTTTCTTAAAGAACAAGACCACCGCACTTCTGCTCCACGCCTCTGGAGTAGTGCCACCATGGAGAACGGAATTGAAGAGCTTCTGAAGGACTTCATGTACCGGTGTTCCACCTGCTCTCAGAAGCTCCGCTGTAATTCCATCCTCGCCCGGGGCCTTGCCGTTTTTAAGGTGCTGGAGAGCCATTCTAATCTCGCTCAGACTGACGTCCGGGATATCATCGGAATAGTGTCGGATAAGACTTGCTCTTGGATCGTTATTCACACTTGCGTGTGGCTCCAACGATGATGTGTACAGCTGCCCATAGAACCTCTCAATCTCACTCAGAATCTCAGGTGTCCCGGAAACGATGTTGCCACACTCAGTCTTCAGCCTTGACAGTTGGCTCTTTCTGGCAGACAGATCTCTGGCAAAGACTTTGGAGCCCTGGTTCCGCTCGATCGCTTCTTTAATACGAGCAGTATTAAAGTTGCGTAAGTCTCGCCGCATGCATTTGGAGATATGTCTGTTCAGTTGCCTGTATGCTGTCAAATCTGTTGACGATTGCAGCCTCATCTCCCGTCTAACAGCCATAAGATTAAGAGTGTGATCGGAGAGCTTTTGTGTTCTTCTGCGGCCGGTCTTGCAGAACTTAGCTCCGACCGCATGGACAGTGTCCACGAGCTTGTCATTCATATCGTCCACTGGAATGCAATCCTCTAGGCACTGAAAGCGGTTTTGTAACTCGAGTTGAAATGTTTCGAGATTCTGGTTTAGAGCACGAGGGGGACGGAGCGTTGACTTCATTAGACGAGACCTCGGCAACTTAACAATTAGGTTCAGTGTGTCTGTAACCATTCGGTGATCACTGCCAGTTTTCACCCTTGCGATCACTGAGACATCACTGAACAGTTGGCGTCTGATCGTCATAATGAAGTCAATCTCATTTTTTGTCGAACCGCCTGGTCTCGACCAGGTCCACT